TCTTTCTTCAACTTCTCAATTTTGCTAGCATCATGCCTAACCATCAACATGGCATCCACATAAAGCAGCAAAATGATGAAGTCGCTATCTAAGAATCTCTTCACAAACACACAATGATCTGAAGTAGTCCTCTTGTAATCATGATTAACCATAAAGGAATCAAACTTCTTATACCATTGTCGTGCTGCTAGCTTCAACCCATATAAGCTCTTCTTTAGTTTGCAAACTAAGTTCTCCTTGCCTTTCACTTTGAACCCTTCAGGTTGCTCCATGTAGATCTCTTCCTCCAAGTCACCATGAAGGAAAGTTGTCTTGACTTCAAGTTGTTCAACCTCTAAGTTCAAGCTTGCGGCCAAACCAAGGACAACCAGTATAGATGACATCTTCACTATGGGTGAGAAGATTTCTTCGAAATCAATTCCATTTTTCTAGCTAAAACCCTTCACAACCAATCTTGCCTTGTACCTTGGCTATGAGTTTCCTTTTTCTGTCTTCAATTTGTAGACCCATTTGTTCTTGAGTGCTCTTTTCCCTTTAGGCAATTTCACCAACTCATAAGTGTGGTTCTCATGTAAGGATTTCATCTCTTCTTGCATGTCTTTCAACCACTCCCCCTTATACTTGTGAGTTGTAGCTTCTTGGTAGCACTCTAGTTCTCCCCCATCTATAAGCATCACATACTCAATACGAGAGTACTTTGTTGAAGTCTGACGCTCTCTTTTGGATCTCCTCAACTGTGGTTCTGTTGGTGGTTCAGGAGGTGTTTGTTCTTCTTGCTCATCCTCTTGTTCTTCTAAATCCATAGCTTCATCACCAACTATATCATCACCACCTTCTTGTACATCTCCCCCACCATCATTATGCACCGTGGGTGGAGGGACTGGATCCAAGGTTATTGGAAACTCATTTGTGGAAGCTAGCTTCTCAACTCTTCTATCAAGGTCTTAAATGGTTTGATCTTCAAAGAAGATTACATCTTTGCTCCACACTACCTTTTTGTCAAATGGATCCCACAAGCTGTACCCAAACCATTCATGGCCATATCCAAGAAAGATGCACTACTTTGTCTTTCCATCAAGCTTTGATCTCTTATCTTTAGGAATGTGCACAAATGCTCTACACCCAAACACCTTCAAATGCCCATAAGAAACATCATTTCTTGTCCACACTTTGTGTGTTATATCACCATTAAGTGAAGCTAAAGGAGAAAGGTTGATTAGATCAACTGTAATCCTCATTGCCTCACCCCAGAAGGATTTAGACAGTTTTGCATGCAAGAGCATACCTAATTCTTTCCACAATTGTTCTATTCATTCTTTTTGCCACACCATTTTGTTGAGGTGTCCTGGGAATAGTTCTTTCATGCTTGATGTCAATCTTCTTGCAGTAATCTTCAAGTGGACCCCTGTATTCACCACCATTATCTGACTGCATACACTTCAATGGTCTCCTAGTTTCCCTTTCAACATTAAACTGAAAAAGCTTAAATGCTTCCAACACACAATCTTTAGTTCTCAAAGCATAAGCCCAAACTTTTCTAGAATGATCATCAATGAAAGTGACAAAATAACGTGCACCGCCAAGTGTACTAACTTTCATTGGCCCACAAACATTAGAGTATACTAAATCTAAAACATGTGATTTTCTAGATGCAAGAAATCTATTGAAAGGAAATTTATGTTGTTTTCCGGCTAAACAATGAACACAAGTTTTGAGTTGTGTACTTTCACCTCAAGAAGGAGATCTTTTCTGGCTAGAACTTGCATGCCTTTCTCACTCATATGACCAAGCCTCTTGTGCCATAGCTCTATAGAGATCTCTTTCTCAACTGCATTGACATTGCCTTTACTTAGCTTTGCTTGCATCACATAAGGAGTGGAGCACTTCTTTCCTCTTGCCACTATCAAGGAACCTTTGGTGAGCTTTCATTTTCCATCACCAAATTGATTTTTGTAACCTTCATCGTCAAGCTTCCTGGTGGAAATCAAGTTGAGATGAATGTCTAGAACATGTCTCACATTTTTAAGAACAAGCCTGCAACTGGTGTTGGTCTCCAAGCAAACATCTCTCATTTCCACAATCTTGGACACACCATCATTTCCCATCCTCACATTGCCAAAGTCACCATGTGTATAGGATTTAAAGGAGTCCTCATGTGAAGTAACATGGAAAGAAGCACCTGAATCAGTCACCCAACTGGACTGATCATGCCCTATGAGCCCAACATAGTCATCATCACTGACAATGATAACATCACCATCCTTAGAAGCAAGTGCAGTTGTTTCTTTATCACCATTGTTCTCACCACCTCTTTCTTTCTTTTGCTTTCTTTTAATCTTTCAACATTCCTTTTTAATATGCCCTTCATGCCATAATGATAGCATTCAATGTCCTTCCGGGATTAGGATTTTCTTCTAGACTTGTCCCTTGACTTGTCACGGTTGTAGATTTTTGTGGTTCTACGTTTTCTCCTGTTTTCAGTGACAAGAGCTTGTGACTCATTGGAAGTACCTTGCTCCTTTGTTCTAGCTTCTTCAATTCTATCTTTCACCATATCCATGGTGACCACACCATTTGGAGCCGAATTGCTTATAGTCACAACTAATGTTTCCCAACTATCAAGCAAAGAGCTCAACATCAACAATGCTTGCAACTTATAATCCAACACCATCTTTATCGTTGTCAACTAATTGATCAAGCCTTGGAAGTCACTCATGTGCTCTGCAACACTGCGCCCATCTTTGTATTTCAAGTTTACAAACCTTCTAATTAAAGAAGCTTTGTTTTGTGCAGTTTTCCTCTCATACATGGCTTTCAATTTCTTCCACAAAGTGTGAGCATTGGTTTCTTGAGCCACACGATGAAACACACTTTGATCAATCCAATGGCGAATTTGAGCAATGGTTTTTCTATTCATTATCATCCAATCTTTAACATCAATATTTTCTAGCCTTTTACTTTCACCATAAATTGGTCTATACAAGTCAGTGTGTAAAGGACATCCTCCATTTGTGGTTTCCAAATCACATAATTCGAAGAGGTCAATTTTATCATAGCCCCCGAATTATCTTCCATTCTAAAATTCACACAAAAATTTTATCAAACGCTTTATAGGGACAAACCGCCTACTCTAATACCACTTGTTGGGAAAACTCCTACATTTTTCCCTCCTTGTGCAATTAGAAAATGGGCAACAAACCACAAAATACAAGCAATAATATGGCTGAAATTAAATGCACCAAAACAATCACAAAACACCAAATTTACATGGTTCCGCAAAAATGCCTACATCCACGGGTCCAACTCCGAATCAACTTCCACTATAAAATAATGGGGTTACAAGATATCATCTCTAGTCATAACTAGAGGCATAGAATCATCAAGAGAATATTCTTGGATCACTAATCAACAATTATATCATCATCATAAAGGTGGGTTTCAACAAAATCAACAGGAGATAAAGTTTAAGTCTCACCAAAGTGGATATCCGAAACTACTAGTCCAAAAGAGCTTTGACAAGATCAACTCCAATCAAAATGTAAAGCTTGATCCCATGAGAAACATGCTGAAATTTCATCAAGATTGGGCAAGAAATGACCATCCAATCTTGGTTTGAACTATAAAAAAAAAAAAAAAAAAAAAAAAAACCCTAACTTTTCTCCCCCTTTTTTCTCCTCTCTCTCTCTCTCGGTACTCTCTGCTTTGTTGCTGTGTGTACAAACATTAAAGACAAAAGTCACTTTTTACTCCTTTTTCTTGTTTGACTTGCAGGTACAAAACCAAAGCTTCTCTGGGGAGCTTTACAAGCAAAACATAAATAATAATAATATTGACTTTAGAGAGTCTTTGTGTGGCCCACCCAGTTAAGAAGGGACCCACACAACATGATATTGGTATTTTAATTTGAAAATATTTTTCATCATTCAAAAGTTGAAAAAAAAAAAACCCAAAAAACTCTTCTTTTTTTTTTTTACCACGAAACGCATTTTTCTTTGATTTTCTTTTTTCATCTGACCAAACGTTAGAAAATACAAAAAAATATTTTCCCAAGCGTAGTACATTAAGATTTACAAAAGGCAAAGAGGAATAATAACCTATACAAGTAGCTCAACAGAGGACAAACTTTGAGACGAGTTAGTTATAAGATGTCTTTGATTCAACTCTTATCTCTCAATCTTAATTGATACATGTAATTTGCAAGTAATTTTAAGTATCTGAGATTTACTTCGCAAGTAATTGAAAATATATGAGATTTACTTTGCAGGTGTTGTGCCATGATGAGGTAAATCATTAAAATAAAATAAAATAAAATGTGAAGAATTATCAATTTCCTTTTAGTTCTTTTAGGAAGGATTAATTACATCAGAACCCCTTATCTATCAATCCATACATATTGATCTCCTCAAATATGAAAATCATATAAATACATCCATTTTAAAAGTGATCTAGAATGGGTGAAAATTATATATTTTTATAGTAGAGAGGATCAAAATTTAAAAATTAATAGATCAAGAGATAAAGTAATATTTCCTAATAATTAAAGGAGTCTTAGTATAACTAGCCCATTAATTTACCAAGTAGATGTCGAAGTTGAACTTGTTATTGATTAAACCATTAAACTCTTCTTTTCACAAGTTTCACAGTCATTGCTCTTGAGAAATTGTGTGCTTTCCTAAGAAGCTAGTTCTCTTCAGTCATTATAACAAAACTAACTATTTACGGCTTTAACTTTACGGTATACATCAAATGCATGTCTTAATTAGTATATTTTACGACATTTTTTTTTTTTGCAAGCGGTTAATGGTTTTTCAATAACGACATACATACCATGTAAGTCATTAATTCACATATTTATGGCATATAAAAGTATGCTGTAAAAAATGTATGTTTTCACGACTTAAAAAATATGTTATAAAATATTTGCACTTCAAACGACATACATTTCATATTGTAAAATACATACATTCCAAGTTGTAAAAATATTATAACTTTACATGGCATGCACTAGCATGTCATGAAAACTTTTATTAAAAACAATTTCAATCCGTTTTTTTTTTTTTTTTGAAAAAGCCGATAATTTCCAACCAAGCTTCTCACCTTAAATTTTCCTAATTGAGGACAATGTAAAAAATAGTTTATACATTATTTTATAATTTAGTGTCTTCTTTTAAGGGATAATTGCACCGAGTGGGATTTTGGGAAAAAAATTACATATTCATGAAAAATTTTATAATTTTAATGATTAATAATTATATTGCTTCTCACTAATTTGTAATTTTTTTTTAAATTACCTTGATTTGATATTTTTCCCTTTTGTTATTAATTTATTACTTTTTGCTTTTTAGATGTGCCTAATCTGGATATAGCTAAAAATTAAAATATT